GGCCAGTCATGGGCCAACGCGTCCCTGTCCTTCGAAAAGTAAGTTGGGCAATGAGAGTTGTCTTCTGAGGCGAAGAGGTCGACCTCTGCCCTGCCGAAGATCTCCCAGATTTTCTGAACCGTTTGAGGGTGGAGCGTCCTCTCCTCCGAGGGGACGTTGCTCCGAGACAGCATGTCTGCTCCTTGGTTCAGCCTGCCCGGTATATGCGCTGCTCTCAGCGAGCGCAAGTTGAGCTGAGCCCATTCCAAGAGACGCTCCACTAGTGCGAAGAGGTGCTTTGAGGAGAGACCGCCCTGACGATTTATATAGGACACTACCGTCATGCTGTCCGAGCTGACTAAGACATGGTGTCCCCTTAGGTCTGGCAGAAAGGTTCGAAGGCCCAGACACACTGCCAGCATTTCCAGGCAGTTGATGTGAAGCCGGCCTTCCTCTTTCGACCAGTGGCCGAAAGCTGGCTTGCCATCGCACAGCGCTCCCCAACCCGTGTTGGAGGTGTCTGTCGAGACTACCTTCCTTCTGCAGACCATTCCCAGGGGCACACCCCGTTCCATCCACTGAGAGTCTTTGCAAGGGGCCAGAGCTGCCACACAGGCCCGGTCCACCTTGACATGAAGGCGTCCGAGACGCCAGGCGTTGGACGGAACTCGCGGTTTCAGCCAGCACTGAAGGGGCCGCATGCAAAGAAGGCCCAGCTGAAGTACCGGAGACGCGGAGGCCATGAGGCCCAGCATCTTCTGAAACGCCTTGAGAGGGCGAGGGGCTCCAACTTTGAATAATGCCACGAGCTGCTGAATAGCCAGTGCACGTTCTTCTACGACTACCGCCCTCATTCGGGCTGAGTCGAGAACTGTTCCCAGGAACGAGATCCGCTGGCTCGGGGATAGCGCGCTCTTGGCAAAATTGACCCTGAGTCCCAGGCATTCTAAGTGGCTGAGGAGGAAGGATCTGTGAAATAGTAGCTCATCCTCCGACTGGGCCAAGATGAGCCAGTCATCGAGGTAATTAAAAATGCGGATTCCCATCTGTCTCAGCGGGGAAAGAGCCGCAACCATGCACTTCGTAAAAGTGTGAGGAGCTAGGGACAGTCCAAAGGCAAGGACCGTGTATTGATATGCCACTCCCTCGAAGGCGAAACTCAAGAATCATCTGCGGTGGGGGGCTATCTGGATGTGAAAATAGGTGAAAAAAATCTTTCAGATCCAGCGAAAAGAACCAGTCCCCTGGGCACACTTGCGAGAGGATCTGTTTCAATGTAATCATCCTGAACAGCTGTTTCATGAGGGCTTGGTTCAGGTGCCTGAGATCGAGGATGGGCCTTAGATTGCCATCCTTTTTGGGGACAAGGAAATAGCGGCTGTGGAGCCTGACTCGCTTTAAGCTGGGGAAACCGTTTCTACGGCTCCTATCACCAGCAAATTCATCACCTCGGAGCGCAGGACGTGTGCGTTTTTGCTCTAAACCGAGGTGGGAACCACGCCACTGAATCGCAGGGGTCTTCGAGCGAATTGCAGTGAATAACCTTGTTTTATTATCCCCAAAACACAGTCTGGCACTCTGGGGATGGCCTGCCAGGCCACAGCCTGCGTGACAAGGGGTTGGATTAATTCAAGAGGCTGGTCGCTGTGTGGGGACCCCACAAATTTTGCTCTCTTTTGAAAATGCGTTCAAAAAATGCTTCGCTAGACTTAATGCTCTCATAGCGAGAGCAGTCTGCCCCCGTGCGCGCTGCCTCAGCGTGGGCGTGGCCCAGACGCGTCCAATTTGAAGCTGTCAGTAATAATAATCATTAGTGAGAGCATTCCCTTTTAATCCGCAAAAAAAAAAAGATCAAACCACTCATTAGAAGAGGAGTACTGATGATCTTTATGTGTAAACACTCAGGCAGATCAAAAGTGCTGCGCGCGTTCTCTCAGATCCATTTGTGGCGGACGAGGGGAGGGGTGGGGCCGCCTTCATTGAAGAAGACGAGCCGCGAGCAAAGCAGAGCGAGACATGAACTTTTCTGTCGCCATCTGGCGAGCCTAAAAGAGCTTATTTCTAGGTAAATTCTAAAAGAGCAAAATTTCTAGCGACGTTGTTGCAAATGTTGCGCTGCGAGTGTGGCTCGTGCAAGGAATCTTGCATGATGCAGAAGGGCAGTGAGGGCGTCGCCTGTCTGGGCAGCCCCCACACAAAGACTGCACTTCACTGAGACAGAATGTTCACTCAGAGCATGAGTCTCGCTCTTCTCCACTCACGGACCGCCTTCATTGAAGGCAGCCCAGCTCTCCCGTTTCTCCTCTCTCAGCGAGCCTCGGAGAGAGAAACAGCGAAGTCTGGAAGCTAAGCAGCCGGGTCTGAGTGATATCACGCCGACACAGAGCCTGCGTGCTCGCTCTCCCCGCTGCGCTTCGATCCGTGTCTTACACATGAAGATCAGCGCCCCTCTTTACATTGAGCGGCTCTATTTTCCGAGGTTGATCGAAGCGGAACGCTGTCACTGACAGCTTCAAATTGGTGTGTGTGTGTCGCTATGGCTGCGCTCACAGAGACGGGCTGCTTTTACCACAAAAGCAGTCTGCCCCTGTTCGTTCGCGGAAGGCGGCCCCGACTCCCCACTCTCATGTTTCTCTCCTCCCAGTTACCTCGGAGGAACCAACGGCGAGCTCGTGGGTTGAGCGATCAGGCTTGAGCAATTCATGCTGGCACACATCATGCGTGCTTAATCTGCCAGTGTGTATTACACGTGAGGATCAGTGCCCCTCGTTACACCGAGCGGCTTAATCCTCCTAGGCAGATCAAAGCAGGACGTTCGCAGCTTAGCATTTGTGTGTGCGTCGCTGAGCCCCACCTCCCCTGCTCTTGTGTTTCTCTCCTCCCAGTTACTCGGAGGAAGAAATGGCGAACTCGCGGAGATGAGCGATCAGGAATGAGTGATTTAATGCCAGCAAGTCCCCGCATACATCACTCTCCACGCAGCTCTTTGATCCGCCAGTGTGTTTACACGTGAGGATCGGAGCAGAACGCTGTCACCAATAATTCAATATCGCTGACAGCTTCGTATTTGAATGCGCCTCTCACCTGGGCCACGCCCACGCTGCGCTCGCTGAGACAGATCGTTCTCACTACGAGAGTTCATGTCTCGCTCTGCTTTGCTTGCGGCTTGTCTTCTTCAATGAAGGCGGCCCCGCCCCCTCCCCTCGTCCACCACAAACGGATCTGAGAGAACGCGCGCAGCACTTTTGATCTGCCTGAGTGTTTACACATAAAGATCATCAGTACTCCTCTTCTAACGAGTGGTTTGATCTTTTTGCAGTTCCGCTGCCTAGCCATTGGTTCGTTTTTAATAATACACTGCACGAACCAATGGCCGTGCAGTTACACTGCGTGATTGAAAATGGCTTCAGTATTCGGAGAATAGTTTTCCCAAAGCGTCTTAAGCAAGACGCAGTACGAGTGAAGTATCGATAGGGAACTAAACCTCTACAATGTAATAAAAGGTATTTTAATTTAAAATAACTAAACGTTTTCCCAGTGTTATTGCAGTATCATTGATGTAGTACTATAGTTTTTTAATATTTTGAATTAGTTTTAATTTTTGTGTTTTCTGTTTTCATTTCCATTTTAGTTTTAGTGAATTGTTTCGTTGTGTGTTTTAATTTTATTTCAGTTTTAGTTGTTTGAGCGCATCAAATTAAACTAATAGAAAATGAGAAATGCTGCTTTGGCAACTAGCTGACATAATTTTAATAAAAAATTGTATTAGTGTGATCTTAGTATTATCGAGAGGCTATTATAGGTTTTTCTTTTTTTTGTATTTGTCGTTTTCATTTTAGTTTTAATTAATGTTTTAGTGATTTTGTTGTGATTTTTACTTGAGATACTATTATAGTTTTTTTTCCGAAATATTTTCAATTAGTTTTTGCTTTTTAAAATCTGTCTATATAGTGTTTATGATTTTTTTTTTTTTTTTTTTAGTACATGTTAAACTAATAAAAATGGTGCTCTGGAAACTAGCTGGGGAAAAAAAACGTTTTTTGATATTTTACTTTATTTCAGTTAAGATTGATTTTATTTCTGTTAACAAAAAAAAAAAGTTTTTTAATGGTTTTGGTCTGAGTTAACTATACTAATCCTGCATGCCACCAGACGTGTTTATGGTTATACTCAGTAATTTAGGTTGCGTGTGTGTTTTTGGTGGTCGGTGTTAATGGTGTTGTGTGTCTCAGGGAAGCGCGGCGTGCTGAAGCGGCCGTGGTCGGAGGCGGAGCGAGTCGCCGTGGAGACGCACCTGAAGAGGAACATCATGGAGCTGCGTGTTCCTGCGAACACTCTCACACTCTCTCACACACACACACACACACACATCATTTACTCACCTCACACACATACACACACACACACTCTCACACTCTCTCACACACACACACACACATCATTTACTCACCTCACACACATATACACACACGCACTCTCACACTCTCTCACACACACACACACACACACATCATTTACTCACCTCACACAGGCTGCTTCTGTGAAAAACAAAACGAAGAATCGTCAGATCCATCTTTAATATGTCCGTCAAGTGCCAAAAATGACAAAACGCCACATAGGAGTATCTTAACAGCAGCCCCAGTGCTCTCTTTTCCACTGAAATATTCACTTCTGTTTGAACTGCTGCAGATATAACTGACTGCTTTCATGCTGTAGTTGGGTCTTGATGGACTGGTGGCTTTGAACTCGTGTGGAAAAGAGTTGCGTGAAGATTCATTCAGCTCGGTGATGGCAGAATTGTGTTGGATTTTTCCTGAACTCTTCTTCTAAGCTCGCGCACACACTCTCCCCACATTCCCCCGTGTGTGTTTCTGTTCAGACTCCTCAGAAACGCAGCAGGTGTGGTGACGCTACTGTTTTTACACGGATGACGTCAGTCGATGTGGAGTTCTGCTGTGATGGATGCGCACTGGATTCTGTCCAAGACGTCAGGATCAATCTCACGAACAACATGCCCAGATCATAATAATTCACACTCAAATCAACAGAAAAAAAATAGGAAATTATTATTTTTTGCATAAAGAAACGGAAGTCTGTTTAGCATTTTTATTTTTTTTTTGCAACATTTGTTATCACCAGGTCTTTTCTATGGAAACTCATTTCTGCCACATGATCAAAAGTAAAAGAAGTAAGTAATTATAGAAGATAGAAGAAGTAATTGCGACTTTTTTTTCTCACAGTTCTGAGTTTTTTTTCTTTCCTAATATTCAGATTTGTGAGATATAAACTCGCAATTGTGATATAAAAAGTTTCAATTAGGCTACCTTTTTCGTTTTTTATCCTGTGGTGGAATCAAATATTTGTGAGTCAAATGTGTGCGATATACACTCCGAAGTGTTCGATATAAACCTGCAATTGTTAGAAAATAAGTCAGAATTGTGAGTTAAAATGATCTTTTATTAGTATTTTTTACATTTTGAAATCTATTTAATTAATTTTTTTAGAAAACCATTGGTTTAACTCAACCTATCAAAACCATCTGTGCCGTAAAATGACGCAGAGAATAAACCATAATTCCTGGATGTTTTACTTTTGATTTGCGTTTTCTGTTTTTCGATATCAATAGTGATTCTCTTTAGATTCTCATTACTGTAATACACTGATATAAATACATACATAATGTTTATAGATTTTGCCATTTAAATATACTGTTGTTGTTTTTTTTCAAAAAATTTTTTTGCATTTCATCAATAATATTTGCAGCTAAAAATAGCATCAAAATGCAGAAAATCTCAGTGGTCTGAGAAACCGGCTTGAACTATGATATCTGGACCGGTTCTTTACAGTGAGATTCATCCGCCTGTATTTTGAAGTGTCGGTTGCCTTAACTTTTGTTGTTTTATTGGTTTATATTGATCTCGTCTGGCTGCAGCTGATTTTAAACCCAATCACATTCACTCGTTTCTGTGCGTCATCAGTCCAGTTCGACAGGAGTGCCGTGTTTTAGGGATCATCAAGTTTGGAGATCAGCTGCGTTTCATTCCATTGGAGTTTATTTATCCTGTACAGTCGTCTGATCTCTGGTCTGTGGACAGTGACGTATCGTAACATGATATTAGCCGTTAAAAGTGTTTTCGTTGCGTGATGATGTACAGTGGGTACGGAAAGTATTCAGACCCCCTTCAATTTTTCACTCTTTGTTATATTGCAGCCATTAAATGGCTGCAATATAACAGAGTGAAAAATTGAAGGGGGTCTGAATACTTTCCGTACCCACTGTACATTCTGTAAATATGACTTATATGAAGTACCATGTTTAAAAGTTGTTTTCTTAAATGCTGTTGTAAAGGTATATCAGATTTTAGAGAGACGATATCTTGACAAATACAGAGCTTAAAGTCACACTGCAAAGAAACACATCTGAATTTCAGACCGTCATGTCTTTTTATTAAATTACAAACGTGGAAACATCAGTCGCCGTGTATCTGGTGTCATTTATGGTTTATATTTCTCACACATCACAAGCTGACGTGCTGCAGGACAGTAAAAGAAATTGAAGGGGGTCTGAATACTTTCCGTACCCACTGTACATTCTGTAAATATGACTTATATGAAGTACCATGTTTAAAAGTTGTTTTCTTAAATGCTGTTGTAAAGGTATATCAGATTTTAGAGAGACGATATCTTGACAAATACAGAGCTTAAAGTCACACTGCAAAGAAACACATCTGAATTTCAGACCGTCATGTCTTTTTATTAAATTACAAACGTGGAAACATCAGTCGCGTGTATCTGGTGTCATTTATGGTTTATATTTCTCACACATCACAAGCTCACGTGCTGCAGGACAGTAAAAGTTATCAGTCATCATAAATGCTAAATAACCTCTGGTGCTCTTCACTCATTTTTCACTGAAATATTTTATGTTGGGGTTTTTTTATGTTTTACGTCATTGGAATGGTACGAAACTTGGTAAGGATTTGTGAACGCACAAAAAAATAAAAATAAATAAAGGACATGATTTGAAAAGGTTAAATGGACCTGAAAAATAGTCACACTTGTACTGTTTGCAGTCAAATATGACCATGTTAGAATGAGAAATGAATTCCATCTAGTGGAAGTGTTTGGTATTGCGCCCAAACAAAATCTCTGACTGAAAGCTCTTTTTTTTTTTGTAATATCAACCTCAAATTTGGAACACAACTTCTTTAGATTTATGGCTTTGATTTTCATGTTCAGTTTTAGAGTAAAACATGTTTTACTTACAAACTTTTCACTTCAGCAATAATCTTAAAGAAGTGTTTTCTTTTAAAACAGACCAAGTCAAGTCACCTTTATTTGTATAGCACTTTATACAATACTGATTGTGTCAAAGCAGCTTTACAGTGTTAAACAGGAAAACAGTTTGTCAATAATGCAAGTCATTTTCCAGCTAAAGTCAGTTCATTGATGATTCAGTGATGTCATCATCCAGTTCAGCTCTCGTCCAATAGTGTCTGTGCAATCAGTCGAGCGTCCCCAACTAAACAAGCCAAAGAAACCAAAACTCCATCGGTGACAGAAATGGAGAAAAAACCTTGGGAGAAACCAGGCTCAGTCGAGGGCCAGTTCTCCTCTGGCCAGACCAAACCAAACCAGCATGATGTGGTTTAATTCCAGGCTGCAGGGCCGGCCCATCGCATAGGTGAAATAGGCAAATGCTAGGGCCGTCGTCCATCCATAGGGGCACCCAAACGAGTTGTTTTTTTTAAATAATAATATTATTTTAATTAGGGGTGCACTTATATCGAAATATGCCATATCGCGAATGTTGCGATTTAATTAAATAAAAATACCTATGCGCTGCAGTTTTCAGAGTGAAGTGGTAATGTGTTAGAGTGCATCCCATGACACGCAGTGCTTCCCTCTGAAACATGCAACGCATTTATTTATTTGCTGGCAAACCATTGAATTTGAGCAGAGATGCACCCATCGGCCATAAATGGCATTTTCCTTTCATCTTGCCTCTGTATAATGCATTTAGTGTTTACAGCGGTAATCAAGGAAACAATGCATCACTGCTGTTCCCTAAGCGCCACCTGCTGGCAGAGAGTGAATTTACATTTTCATTCAGCCCATCTGCTGTTTGATATGATTTATGTAGCCTAATTTCACAAAGCCAAAGTCAGACCATTCTGTTTTTGCTTCAGGTTTTGAAATTATACAGTCTAATTTAGATCAAAATATAGGCTAATAAAGCAGCTAACCATATTCTTCATGCACTCATATTTTCATTCTTTCTTGTCTTTTGCTTAAATAAAATACATTAAAAACCAGTATTGGATTCTGCCATGAAAAGTTAAGATCGGTGCATCCCTAAATTTTAGAATGTCTGAAATGAAGAAATTAAGATTTAAATGTTAGTATTGCAGCTGCCTTTGGATGATAAAGTTCTCTAATTTAAATAGCAGAGTTAATGTCAGTTTATTTATTTTAAAATAATTTTTTTTGTGTGCAACCGTCTTATTTTCATATGTAATTTGCTTTATGTCATAAAGCTATGCAGTTTCTGTGTGAATGATCGGCGGTGGAATTAGCTTCGATGCAAGGGGCACCAACTAAAATCTTGCCTAGGGCACCAAATTGGTCAGGGCCGGCCCTGCCAGGCTGCAACACAGGTGCAGAGGACTTGTCTTGTGCCAATGGTCATCGAGGTGACGAGGTCCTCACTGGGGATCTGTCTCTGGGGCTCATCTAGTTGTCCTGGTCTCTGCTGACATTCAGGGCTGTAGAGGTC